TTTTTTTTTTTTCGTAGGCGCCTCACTCTGTCACCCAGGCTGGAGTGCAGTGGCAGATGGTCACAGCCTCAACCTCCTGGCTCAAGCAATCCTTCTTCCTCAGCCTCCTGAATAGCTGGGACTATAGGCAGGCAGCATCACACCTGGCTAATTTTTTTTACTTTTTGTAGAGACAAGCTCTCACTATGTTGCCCAGGTTGGCCTCCAACTCCTAGGCTCAAGCAGTCCTCCCACTTTGGCCTCTCAAAGGGCTGGAATTGCAGGCATGAACCACTGCGCCTGCCCTCCCCCCGCACGTCTCTTTTACCTGATGGCTCTTATCGTCTTTTGGGGTGCCAATCATTTATAACCTTCTTCAGGAAGTCTATTCTAATCCTTCCCACTAGTTTGGCACAGGTACTCCCTCTATCACAGCCTGCTGTCCTCCCCCCAACACAGCATGGACTACACTGTTGTTTCATTTGTTTTCCTTGCTGGTTTTGGGTTCCTCAAGGCAGAAAGCAGGTCTCAGCCCACAGCAAGTGTATGATACATCCTGGTAGAATGAATGGGGGATGCTGGGCTCTCAGAGAAGGGCTGTCATCTGTGGTGGGCACCACCTGGACAGAGCGTGACCTGAGATTTCCAGATCTGTCGGTAGCAAAGCCCTTTTTTCTGTCTCCCTATACTCTCCCCCTCCCTTGAAGGCCAACTACTCCCCCAAAGAAAACCTCCCAACCTTTGTGTTCTGGACACACTCACAGTCTGGCACGTGTTTATCTTGTCTTTCTGCTCAGAGTGCAAGCTCTTGGAGTACAGAGTTCACATTTTACTCTTTCTTTGTATTCCATAGTGTCATGCACAGAATTACACAGTAGTTACAATTCCAGGCCAAGGCTTGTGCCCCAGCTCTGTCTCTTAAGAGTCAAGCATAAGAAAATGACTGACAGTAGTGGGAAACCATGCAGGGGGTGGGGGGGAGATGGGATCAATGGCAGCAAATATCTGTCTGGGGACGGGGAAACACCTCTTATCAACAGTGTGCCTGAATGAAACGTACTTGTAAACCTAACCCTTAACTGTACCCCACAACACCATAATGAAAAATATTGATTAATTAAAAAAAAAAAAAAAGAGTCAAGCAATCTTGAGCAAGTTATATTTCTTCACTTAGCCCCAGTTTCCTCATCTATAACACGAGGTTATAATAGTGCAATCTATGGATCCATCGTGAGAATTAAATAATATATATAAAGCTATTTCATACAATGACTGGTGCATAGTAAGTAAACAGTAAGTGATAAGTATTATAAATATTGATTCTTTTTTTTTAAAGTGTATTTGTGAATTTGTTTCAAGGATCTCATCTTTATTTTATTTTATTTTATTATTATTATTATTTTTTGAGTTGGAGTCTCACTCTGTCACCCAGACTGGAGTGCAGCGGCCGCTCCCGGCCACTGCAGCCTCGACCTGCTGGGCTCCGGTGATCCTTCCACCTCAGCCTTCCTTTTGCCTCAGCCTTCCGAGTAGCCGCAATTACAGGTGTGCACTACCACGTCCGGCTAATTTTTTGATTTTATTGTAGAGATAAGGTCTCACCTGCCCAGGCGGGTCTCAAACCCGCGGGCTCAGGCAATCCACTCACCTCAG